GATGTTTATCTACTTCACAATACTGGAGGCTTAAAGTCCAAGATTGGGTGGCCTCATCTGTTTGGCCTCTAGTGAGGGTCTCCCTAGTTGCTTCACAACATGGCAGAGAACAGGTTTGAAGAAGTGGCAATGCATTCGAGATAGTCTCACTTTATAACAAGCCACTCATGTGAGAGCTAACTCACTCCATGAGACCAGCATTAATCTCTTCCAAGGGTAATTTCCCCAAAAACTAATTACTTCTCGCTAAGTCAACCCTCTTAAAGATTCTATCACCTCTAGCATCATCACACTGAGGACTACACTTCTAGCACATGAACCCCTAAGGGACAGACTCAAACCGTATCAAAATCATAGCAAGGTTTAAGATGAATACAAAATAATATCACTGCATCCAATGTCTAGCAAGCACTTTGGAAAATTAGAGTAAGGCATAGGTGAGCAGTTAACTGTGCAGGTGTAAATATGGAAGACAGCTTTAAACTTAAATTGAATTTATTTCCTGAAGACAAATTTATACAAAAGAGCAGGGAAACAAAGACTGAATCATGCAATATTTTGAGGACAGAAAGAGGACAAGGTACAAGTGAAGTAGGAGAAAAAGGAAGTTCAGTAATGTAGAAGTCGAAGAAAGAAAAATGTTTCAAAAGCTGCTCCTCAAATGCCCTCACTGAAAGCATAAGATAAAGAACAAACCTAATAAAAGTTACACAGGTTGAGCAGTGAGGGTCATAAACCCTTAAAGAATTACAGTGCAGTAGAGAACAAGGATGTTTCAAACAAGCTTTGGTAGTTCCCACCACTCCCTTCTTTACTGTTTAAGTACAGTCTGTACTTTCACCCAATACACACCTGGTCACAGAATTTAACACCATTAGGGCATGCTGGTGTTTATGGGGCCAACTGCCTGCAGACAATGCAATATATGGTAGAACCAGTGGATCCCTTGGTCATGTGCCCACTGTGCCACCCCCCTAACTGTGAAGTGCCTTTTTTTGGTACTGGGGTATGCACTCAGGGTCTCACACTTACTAGACAAGCACTCTACCACTATTTGGATGACACCTCCAGCCCTTTTTGCTTTAGCTATTTTTCAGAGAGGGTCTCATGTTTTTTCCTGGGCTGGCCTCACACCATGATCTTCCTACTTCCACCCTAGCTGGGATTACAGGTGTGAGCCACCGCAGCTGGCAAGTGTCTTCTTTAGTCAGTCACAATGTATCAGAAAAATCATGTGTTTGTAAGTCTACCAAATAATATTGCTGCCAAATTCACTATAAGCAGGGAAAATTCATTTTAAGAGAGGTGTAAATTCCATAAGGACAACGTGCTGTTCTTTCCAGGAGGCTCACCCTTTGGATTTTTGGTTCTGATGGAAGTGCATCATCTCCCCAGAGAAACAACCGTCCACAATGAGCAACAGTATTGACTTTCTTCTTTCTCTGCCTCTCTTTATTATCTGTCTTTTGCTTTCTGGGGTGAACTCCAAACAAATTACCTGCACATAGGTTCAAATTCTAAGACTCCAATTCTAAGAACAGAATTCTAAGAGATGCCATAGACTTTCCTAAAATTAGATGCTCCTAAATTGGAGATCATTATAGGTTTAATCTCCCACCCTATGTTGGTCACACATAGATCTTCCTCCTTTTCTCTAGATCCAATTAGCATATAAGACTACAGAGGACCAACAAGGCTACCAGGTGCAACACTTCCCGAATAATCAAGATTCTAAATCATAGTAAAGAGCAGAAAAGTTATCCCACCTAACTCTAGAGAAAGCCAGTGGATGAGTACTGCAGTCATTTTCATACAGGAGCCAACCGCTCTTGTTCTGCTTTGCCGATGGAGTCTTTGCCAGCTCAATAACCTCAACCATTCTGCGAGCCTGTTTTCATTCCAGTAAAAGCCCCACATCTTGCACAGCGGCTGCTATTGGAGCTATCACTTGGCTAGGTTTATAGCAGTCCACCAACATAACTGTGATCCATCTAACTATTTCATGGGCCAAAGCAATTACTTGAATGGGGATATGACAGAGGTCACCATCCCTACATTTTTAGTCTTTACTGGTAGTGCAAACTCTGAAATTCCTCCTAGATGCAATTAACATCTGATTTCCTACCTTGGACCCTAGGAGAGGACATGACTTCAGCAGCTTCCACTTGGCCCTTCCTATCAGCATAACTTGCCACAGATCAGAGAGGATTCTACCAGTCATTACACATATGAATGCCAGTTGTGCCCTGGGGATTGCATTGAACATACGGGCAGACTATGGCTAGAACTTCAATTACCTGGCCTCCATGTTGAGCTCTCAGTGTCATTATCAACAAAATTTGTCAATGAAACAGTCCTTAAAAATCTGGTTACTCACATTCCACAGCGTATAGGTCATTGGATAAATGGCTTTCAGTACCTTGGGAGAAGTATCGGGTAGACCCACTAGAGATCCTTGCAGGGGCATTACAAGGTTCTTCCTCAAGGGATCTGCTCACCCCTCAATTGATGGGCCTGGGAGGGAGGTTATTTTTTTATTGAAGCAGCTGATGTCTGCCTTTTGCTCAATAGTTATTCTGTTTTCTGGTCAGCTGAGGCAAGAAACACATGTAGGCTATGTGTCTGATTCACCCTTCAGAACACTGAATATGAGTCCATAGACGAAGACAATCTGGTTGACCCTCTGGGTTTGCTTCCAGCCATGGTAATTAAATCTATCATGTTTCTGTAGACTCATAGCTTCCTTGTTCCATGGAAGCATCTCCTAATCCTTCATTTTATCCTCAATCCACCACAGGTAAGAGCCTTAGGAAGTGTGATGCTATAGCACTTCGGGGGTTATCGCCACCCTATTTACCACCAACAAAGTTCAAGTAACCCAGTCCTAGAGTAACCCCAGCATTGAAGCTTGCTGGGGTTGGAAAGGGTTGTTGGGATCTGAAGAATAGGTTGAGCATGGCCTATCAAGAACAATCTACAAGCTATGGTAAGCCATTAAAGGGTTCTAGGTAAAAGATAGCATATTCTATCACAGACTAGTGCAGTGGTCTATATTCTAGTCTTTCTTCTTAATATCAATGTTCTTTTCTTTGTTTTGGTGGTACTGGTGTTTGAACTCAAGGCTTCACACTTGCTAGGCAGGCTCTACTACTTGGGCCACTCCACCAGCCTATAGCAATGTTCTTTAGCTAGATATTCTCCAAAAACATAACCTAAGGTAACTACTTATATGAAGACAGGTCATTTTGGAGGTATTCCTAGTAAGAAGCAATGAGGCGATAGAATACAGAAGATAAAATAATGTTATTAAAGTTGTCTGTTGTGGGCAAGCAAATTCATGCACACAGAGTAGTAGAAGTGTCTTGCTAAAGGATACAAAGCAGGCAACAGTTACTGTTGCCTCTGGTTGAAGGTTCCAGATGTGCTAAAATTTACCAACACTTCAAAGCTGTTCACTACTGATGGCCTGGACAAAGCCAGAAGAACCTCAGGACACAAAGCAGAGGTCTGATAAACTTGAAAGAAGAGAAGCTGTTAGGATAATTGCATGGGAACTTGCATAAAACTGTTGCACCATTCCCTGTTCAAGTCGGAAATCAGAGATGATGCTCAGAATGTATATGTTGGGATAACAAAGGCTTCCAACACAATAAGATTATTAGTTTCTTAGAAAGTGAAAACCAATTAATGACTGCAAGTCCTTAATTTTGTTTACCACATGGTTATCACAGGAGTAAATGGGCAGTAATGTAATGTCAGTCAATATTTATTAAACACTGACTCTGTAACAAGCATTTACTCCAGGTAGTATCTCACACATTTTACATGACATTTACTTGGCAAGTAGAAGTAGTCAAGTGACAATTGAGCAGTGACTGCAAAACAGTGAGGAAGCTAGCAAGCAGCATATATCAGAATGACCAGCAGATAAAGAGCACTAATGCTTGCTGGGGTTGGAGAGTGTTACATGGGCTCTGAGGAGATGCTTTGGCATGGCCCATCAAGGACTTATAAGCCATGGTAAGGGTTTTGAACCTTGAGTGAAATGGCAAATCACTAAATGGTTTTGGGTACAAGATAGCATAGTCTGCCACAGCCTAAAAGGATGACTCCAGCTGCTGAATGGAACTAGGCTGTAAAGAAAGAGGAAGGGGAACACACTATTCAAAGACCACTGTGGTTGTGCATCGCTTTTCTGAGATCCAAAGCTGGCTCTAAACACTCGTCCATAGTGGTTACGGAAATCTTTTCCCTTAACGTCATTAAAGGTTATGGGTCTATCCCTCTTGGTTTTCACTTCATTACACCTCAGTGATTATAGATGTAGCCCTCAGTGCGGAAAAAATGTTTAGAAAATGTTGAAAGCTAGTACTCAAGTTTTAGGATTTACGTTCCAAGCAATAAGGGGCATTTGTCAAAACGGCTGGTTAACATTTCTGCTATGTTCCAAGGACCACTGTACCTACGTGCTGAATTCTATGTCAGAGGCAATCCAGGGGTTGACTTCAGTCCCTCTGCGCGGGGAATGCAGGTACGAATCCGGAAAGGACGTGCATCCCAAGAAGGGGAATGTGACATTGCCTCATCCCACTTAGATCAAGAGAGGGAAGAGGGAATCCAAGGATTCTTATATCCCAGTCCAACATTGTGTGGCGCCTCCTCAAATCTCAGTCCAGGGCTACTGACAAGGAAGTCTTCTCCTCTGTGGGCACCTGAGTGCCCGGGATCGGGGACCAGGAACAGGCAGGGTACCCTCCCGTTCTCACGCAGCAAGTTGAAGCACCGCGCTTGCACTGCTTAGCCTACCTCGGCTGCACCCGCCCGCGTCTCGGAGCGCACAGAGCATGCGCAAGAGCGAGCAGCGCGCACGCCGGCATCAAACCGGGCCGACAGGGGCGGGCCCGAGCCTGCGCATGCGCGCAGGGACACATAGGCGGAAGTGGCGTGCTGGTGCCCGTGATGCAAACACCTTCCGGCGAGGCGGCCGAGGCGGTGGAAAGTGCAGGAGTGGACGAGAAGGCAAAGGAAGAGGAGGTGATGGCGACAGACCTGGGGAGGGGGAGACGCTCCGTCTGGCTGAGACGCCATCTGGGCTGGGGTCACCCTTTCAGGTGACATATCCGTTTTGGGGTGGGCGTGCCCCCGCGTCAATGTTTGGGACCCAGACCCCCAAGTCCGCTAGAGAACCTTGGCACTGCTTGTTTTCCTCATCCAGAACAAGCTTGAGAGGAGTCCATGAAGTCAAGATAGCAGGAGAGGGACTTCCTGTTTTAATGAGCTGAAACCTGCAGGCAACGGTTTCCAGGAAGGGGCACCTGCTCCTCCTCAACCCTGGGCTGGCGACAACCCCCTGGCGTCCCCATCTGTGGACTCTCGGGGATGGGACCACCTTCAGGGGTCTTTAAGGCTGTTGTCCGAGCCGCTGGAGAACTGCCAGTCTCAATGGGTTCCACCAGAGCGCATTTGTAGTTAAAAAACACTTCCGGGTTCTGTGTCGCCTCCAGGGGACTCTTGAGGTCCATTTGCCCTACAGTGGAAGGTGCGGTGCCTAGCAGGCAGCTTAAGCTCTTGTCACTGAAAGTAATAGGTGGAGTGATTTGGTGTTCTGCTGGAATTTTTTAAATATTGGGCATCTGCATTTCTTCTACAGTAGGTTATCAGACTCCAGAATTTTAACTAAACGGGTTTTTGGTGGTGGTGGTGGTTTGCTTGTTTGTTTTTTAGTGAATTGAGACAGTGTGAAAGAGAGTTACAGGCAGCATTTGAAAGTAATTTAGATAGCGTTGTTTGTACTTAATATATAGATATAAATCCTAATTTCAGTTCTCTCCCTTGGGAAAATTAGTCGTTTCTCAAACTTTTCATAAATGCTACCTTGTATTTAGCTGATACTTGTACCTTGAAGGAACTAAAGTTAAATATCTAAATTGAGTTTAGGAAGAGGCCTAGGGCCTACACAACTGTGATTTTATTTTTCTGTTTAGTTTCAAGGGTTATTGTGAACTTCTAAAGCAAATCAAAATGATGATCAGTTAATTTGAAAAAGAATGTTAATTACATATTTGACATTTCCCACCCCCTGCACCACAGGGACTTTGGGCTCAGTTTCTTCAAATGATAGATAATAATCAGTTATTGAAACGGAGGGGAGATTGCAAACTGCAAAGAAGAACATCATATGAAGGTTACATGATCATCTGTTGCCTTAAGGAATTCACATACTTGTAGGAGAAGCAGACATAGGAACAAAAACAACTATACTGTCATGATTTAGATATTTGTAAAAATATATATAATACACTACAAGTGTTCAGGCTATCATTTAGTTCTTGAGTGCCTTAGGTTAAAGTTGCAGCATGGTCAGGCCTCATGCTGAGCAATGTGAAAGATGGTAAGAAATGGAAGTAAAGATTATAAACAGGCTGATCCAGTAATCTAACCAAGAGAAAACAACTCCTTTTTCCTTTTGTTTTTTTCTCCAAAGGGAAAAATGTTTTCTTTTAACCTAAGACCCTTTTGATGGTAGGGGCAAAAACAGATTTTAGATATATTTATGGATATAGACTCAGCAGTTATCTTTGCCAAGCATAAATGTGAACAATAGGAAAGTATCTTAACATAAATTCAACTTTTAACTTGTGTTTCATACTAGGTACCGTAAAGTGATATTGGGGATATAGGAAGAAAAGTAGAAGGGAAACTAATGAGTTTAAAGTTTGGACTCTAAAAAATATATATATGAGGTGCCAGTGGGACTTAGGAGTAGAGGTATCAAAGGCACATTTGGAGCCATGATTAGTGGTACATGCCTGGAATCCCAGCTGGGCAGAGGTAGAGGTAGGATGATGGCACTCCAAGGCCACCCCAGGCAAAAAGCATGCAGACCCTCTCTGAAAAATAAAGCAGAAAAAGGTTATTCTGCTTTAAGTGGTACCACCAAAAGGCGGGGGTAGGAAATATTTGAAAGAAGTCTAGGTCAGAAATTCAGATCCGTATTTCCAACTGCACCTCTGAGGGGTAGGTCAAATTCAGCATGTCAGACCACCTTGAAAAGCTGGATAATGATGGTTGACATACAGGGACTGTCATACTGTATGCTGGGCACTTTCACACTTCATAGAACCCCAACAAAAATGCTATGATGGCTCATTTTAATCCCTCACTCCCTTAGAGATACAAACCTAAAGCCCAGAAGACTTTAATAAAGCTAGTAAGTAGCAAAGGCAGGTCTTGAACTCATATCTCTCAGAATTCCAAAGTATGGGAAAGCACTATTCGGTGCCACTATCTTGTGACATTAGCTACAGTTGAATTGAGTCAGTGCAGTGTGTTTGGCATTTTGCTAATTACAAGCAACCAAAGTTTGCCAACACCACAGTCCCTTTCAAAAGTCATATCCAAAAAGAAGGGGAGTGATTGCAATCTGAAGTTTGAGGGTGTCCAGAGGAAGGACCAGTTTATTTGGTTTGTCTGAGTATTGAGTGGAAATTATATGCCAGATAACCAGGATGCAGAGACTAATAAGACTTGAGTCTTGCCTTTTTCTTCTCCCAATTGAGAGAATTAGGTTGGGTATCATACAGGAGGGACAATAAAGCTAGATGTTAGTACCTGACCCAGAGCAGAAAGGACACTATGAACAAATGCAGTGGTGTTAGAAAGGCCTTTGTGTGTTTCAGGAATAGAACATGAGTGTTTAGGACTTTATTGAAAGCAGTGAGGGGAAAGGAGGCTTAGGAACCTTTTGCAGCCAAGTTTATTTAAATGGTGTTCTATGGTCATATTTACCTACACATACAGAAAATACTTACCTCTACATTCAAACACAAGTTTGACCAGATTTTTGGTGAGTTTACTTAAAGCATGGTTTAAAATAAAAGTCACATTTTAAGAGTGTCCTACAAGGTGGTATAAAAAAATCTTAACTCAGAGACGACAGTGATGGAAGCATAGCTTGGAAAGCCAGTACAAAGTAAAAAAGAAGAAAACACAACTGAAAGAAACACAGTAAAACTACTCATTTTTTGTTTAGAAATATGGTGGGTGCCCCCTAGAACAAATGTTTTGGTATCTGATTGAGTTGTATTCTGATTGATTTGAGTTACTGAGTAGGGTCTAGTTAATCTCTGTTACTCAGCAAACTAGGAATGACCATGAAGAGGTGATGCTAGTTCTTGCCATTTTAAACCACTGTAGGACATTTTCTTTTAAGAGATTTCTAAAAGGGTGCTCTCTGTCAAAATTACCCTCATCTTCCTTCTACCCTCAGAGTCTAAATTTTCATTCTTACTGGAATTACAACACAGAGTCTTTTCTAAGAAAATGACTTTTTCTTCATAAGTGTGTTCTGTTTTTTAATTATCATAATTCTTTCCTCAGCCTTTATATGGAATTCATTTTTTCAATTTATATAAATTCAAAGAGAAATTGACAGTCACCTATGCTGTCATCATCATTTTTTCTACAGAATGACAAAAAATGGCACATTTTCTGTCCTTTTATATGCCAAAGACATTTTAAGTTAAAATTATTTTCTCCAAAAGGGGAAAAATGTTTTCTTTTAAACCTGAGAAATTATATTGCTAATACATATTAGCTTTTCTGTAGTCTTAGTAAATTAACTTTTTAAGTAACTTAAAATTATTTAACTTTATTTTAAAAGCATCACTAGCAAATATATTTTACAACTGTCTTAGTAGTTAAAGGAGCATCATTTTCTCTTCACTCTTCTGCAAGTACAGATTGATTTGATATTGAACATGTTATGCATAAGGTATTGGGAGCTTTCCAGATATAAAAACAGAATGTAACATGCTTAGTTTTTTGATGAAATAAGTACTAGGCTTGCTTTTGGCTTTTTGCTGTAAAAATAACTATATTTCACCAATTCAGTGGTGTGGTGATCTTTATCAAGAGGAGGTATTGTGTGAGAATAGGCATTTTGCTTTGGGTTGCTTGGGTAACTGAGGTGTGGGAGTTAATGTATTAACCAGAGAAAACCAATTTTATCTGTGTCATTTTAAATATAATTAAGATTACTATTTGGAGCAAAATACTTCATGATCTAAACATTTTGCTTTAATTGCTTATTTCCCTCTCTAGGACTTGGCAAAACAAGCAAAAGAAAGATCGAACAAAAAAGAGGAAACCAAGAAAGATAACTTTACAAACCCTGAATGTGGCAAAATAAGAACAATGGATCTCAAGTTCAACAACACCAGGAAACATATCTCGATCACCGTGCCATCCAAAACCCAAGCAATGTCACCACACATCAAGTCAGTTGATGACATCATAGTACTTGGCATCAATCTCAGCAAATTTAACAAACTAACTCAGTTTTTCATATGTGTTGCTGGAGTTTTTGTATTTTACCTAATTTATGGATATTTACAGGTAAAAACTAGTTACTTGTTTGTAACATGTTAATTATTTATAGCAATTAACATCAGTATCAGCATTTATTACAGATTTCAAGATATCCTTACAGTCTTCTGGTTGATTCATAAATTTTAAGGATTTTTTTATAGGGTAACTATAACTTAAAAAGGCTACTGAAAAATCAAAGTTTTATAGTTAAATTTTTAAGTGGCAAGGAGGGGCATGTAGAATTTATGTTGAAATGATTTAAATTATCATAATTTTAAATATTTAACAAAATTTAGATAATTTAAAAGAAAAAAATGATTCAAGTATTGGTTCGTATCTGGGAACACAATTTTCTAATGAACAGTAGCACTGTTTACTCTTGATTCTTGGAATTCGGTGATAAAAGCTCATTTAAAAGTTTTATCAGTATATTTCATGTTTTTCCAGGGTAACTCTCTAATGCTGTAACATTTGAGTCATTTGTTTTGAAATACCTATTATTTCCTCATTGTTGGCTTTTTCTGCTAATCTAACTTTGCTACAGTCTTATTTTTGAATGATTTTTGTTTACGAAAACATTTCTCACATTGCAAGAATTTGTCTCGTATTCACATTGTATTTGGGATACATTTGACCAGCAACAGATTTCTGACTTTTAAAAACATAGGCTAGATGGGTGAGGATCTGGGCTAGTGTAGACAGGAAGTTTGAAGGGCCATGTTGCTCATGGCCGTTGAATTGATACTTTCAGACATTATGCCACTTCATAATGTGAGGGAATCTTTGTAACTTAAGAACAGTAAAGTGATTTGTTTTCTTAAAACTTATAATATTCCTAGTATTCGTTAGTGCTAAGAAGTTAGATGACCTGAAAATTGTCTTCTTTTTTCATTGTTTTATACAGGTGAATTGTAATGGTAAATGTAAATAAAGAAGGTAAAATGTGACTTTATTTTTAGCTAGCTTACAAGAACACCATGGAGAATATTAATGCAAAATAAAAACATGAATTAAAAGCATTAATATTTATAACTGATTTCTCCACTAGAAGGTGATATAAAACTTAAGATAACATAATGAACAACAATTAGAAATGAGAGTTTGAAATTTGTGGAGAAGCATTTTTTCCCTTCAGCATGCTACTGTTACAAATAGCATGGGACAAAAGACAGCCATTGAGAAGGAAAATGAATTAGAAATTTACCCTGTAAGATAGGTACATTTTTCCTGTTTGATCAACAATCAGATCATTTATAACTAGCCTGTGCAGTTTTATTTTAAATAGCATAAACCACTGTTAATTATGTTTGTAGCTTTTCCACTTTCACTTTATGAAAACTGACCTTGCTACTATCTCATGTATGTCAACATAGCTGGGAATGTGGTTGGTGTGTGGTGATGTGTTATGTTCTTCCCTGCACACCCACACAACATGGGAAGCTTGATCTGTTCAATTAAAATTAAGGCAGATAACTATTAGAATACCTCTAAATGACTTGTTAAAGTGGCTTCTTAATAATTGATATAAATGTTACTTGATAATGTAATACTGTATTTAAGCAAACTAAACATCCTCTATTCAAAACGAAATGTTACATAATCTGTGACATAAGAATTTCAAAAATAATATTGATATGTACTGACTGACTGTGTTCCTATAAGAAAACGTCTGAGATGTCAGACTTCTAGTGAAATAAGCTTTTTATATGAGCTCTTCAATTAGCCCCCTTTTCCTGTTTAGAACAACTCTCTTAATTGTGGTCTTTTTTAAATGAACACATACACTAGTTTGCTTTTTAGTTATTTTTCACTAGATACCTTAGTATCTAGCGCCAGGTCTGTGCGAAAGACTTCTAGCTTCTTTCAAGTTTCCTTAAGATTTGATTTTTGTCATTGTGAGTATGGCTTGGTTTCTTTTTAAGATGTGAGAAGTCAGTCAACCCTTTTGAACTTAACAGTATTCATGTGTCTTTTAACAGGAATTAATATTTTCAGTGGAGGGTTTTAAGCCCTATGGCTGGTACCTTACTTTAGTGCAGTTTGCATTTTACTCCATATTTGGCCTAATAGAACTTCAGCTTATTCAGGACAAAAGGCGAAGGTATGTGATTTGTTTGGTTTTCTTGCTAGATAAGTTCACGTGTATTAGTTGAATCTTTAAAGGAAAATCTTAGCATGTTGGATATGGGTGAAATTTACATTTGCTATTAACATATCTAATCATGAATTTTATCAGTATAATCAACTTGTTAAAAATAAATCTACACTGAAAAAAGTGACATCACTCTTTTATTTATTAATTTATTTTGGTGTTAGTGGGGATAGAACTCAGGGCCTTGTACTTGCTAGGCAGGCACTCTACCTCTTGAGCCACACCCTCAATCCAACATATCTCTTTAAGTATAATGTTGCAATATAAAAAATATATATATAAAACTTAGACTCAATTTGTAATGTTTATCTTCTTTAAAAATAAGAAAGTAGTGGTGGCACACACTTGTAATCCCAGCTATGCAGGAAACAGAGATTGGGAGAATTGTAGATCTGGGGCAGCCCAAGCAAAAAGTTATTGAGACCCATCTCAACAAATAAACTGGATGTACTGGTCAGGCCTATAATCCCAGCTATGAGGGAGACATAGACAGGAGGATTGCAGTCTGAGGCTACCCCTAAGCAAAAACATGAGACTATATCTGAAAAAATAAGTAAAGCAATAAAGAGCTGAGGGTGTAGCTCAAGTGTTAAGAGTGCCTGCCTAGAGCAAGCATGAGGACCTAAGTTCAAACCCCGGTACCACAAATATATATACACACGCATACACACACACACATACGTTTATATGTACATTTGTAAAGTGCACTGAAATCGATGTGATTGCTGAAAAATTCACCATGCAACTAACAATAAAGTAGTAAAGAAAATAATCAGTATCTGTTTCCATAGTGGGGTTTTTTTGTTTGTTTTTGTTTTGCAGTACTGGGGTTTGTACTCCAGCTCAGCCTACAGCTTGAGCCACTCCATCCAGACCTTTTTTGTGATGGGTTTTTTCAGGATAGGGGCTCATGAACTATTTGTCAAGGCTGGCTTTGAACCATAATCCTCCTGATCTGTCTCCTGAATAGGTAGGATTACAGGCATAGCCACCAGTGCCCAACACATGGTTTTTAAAAGTGAAGTTAAATATCCAGCTGACATTGTTGTGAAATGTCTAGTAGCTGAAATTTGCAATCCTAAGATGTGGAGAAACGCGTTTCACTTCTTTTCATTAAAGCGAAATGTGTCATTTGATGATATTTTTGAAATTAATAACATCTCCACTTGAAAAGTAAGTTGATACATTTTATTGACATATAAAACAATATGCAATAAGATGATTATAAACAAAAGGTGGTTAGAAAATTGCACATAACACATTTTGAATAAATGTAAGAAGTATCATCATCAGTTCTGTCACATCACACCCTGCTATATGTGTAATTAATGTACCTATTGGCAGTTAAAATATAATAAAGACTATGATACTCGCATTCTGTTTTGTTTTGTACAAATGTTGAATCCTTCATTGAAAATAAAACATTTCGCACTTTTTATTTTTTCTATTTAAAATGGTTTTGAAGTGTGTATGGAGGTAACTGCAATTTTATATATTCAAATCTAATTTACATATTCAAATCTGACACAAGATTCTTCCTGAAAGAATCTTTAATACATGCTTCCTCATGAATCTAATTTTGCTTCTTTACTGCCAAAAATTATATAGCACTTTAATAAGTAAAGCTAGTTGAATCTGGGAATATTTTCATTACTTTCATGCTCTAAAATGATAAGATGTAGCAATGGGTGATAAAACAGAAAGTAATTAAAAATATTTGTCAAGATTAATATATAATAATATGTAAGGAGGCCTAGTGATTCATAACCAGTTGTAAGCTACTAGTCCTCTACTTGGTTCTGAGTTGAAAGACATTAATGTTGTCTCTGTCATCTGATGATGCATCTCCTGGTAAAAGAAAGAAACACCTGGCTGTCAGCTACTTAGATGAGATGTAAGTGGGCCAAGTTTATCCCAGTCTTTAAGACAAATGACCATAATGCATTTAAAATAAAATAATTTGTGTTTGATTTAAACATAAGTGAAAGAATTGGAAGAATTTATAGACTTAAAAGAAGTATAATTGTTAATTGAAACCTTCTCCTTCCAAGGCACATTAATTTTTTTTCAAGTCTCTAAAGGTATGCTACAATGAAAATTTGCCAAGTCACCTATTTCCTTATTTTTGAATATGCATCCTTTCCTGAATTTACTTAAATGGTACTGCTCTCTAGTCCATTAACTAGCTAAACTCTTTGCTTAGTTTTTTTCTCTCCTTAAGTTTGTATAAGTAGTGGTGTAATAGAGAACAGAATTTGGAGTTAGAAAAGATGGGTTTAGGTTTTGGCTGTGCCTCTTAATAGCTTTGGCAAGAATTCAGGGAAGTTTCTGAAATTCTGTCTCAGTTTTGAGAATCAAATATGGTAATGTATGTGAGAGTACATCGTAAACTGTAATACTCTAAATATGTTACATACTGTTTTCACCAAAAAATACTATGTAACTCTTTACTAATTATTTTAAGTTTTTAATAAAGGAGATCTGTCAGACTGTAACAAAAGGCATTTTATTGCAATGTTTCCACTATTTCTAAGGAAGTCAGCTATTGAGGTATTAAATAAAAGAGAAACAATGAGATTCCTAGAGGCAAGCTGATAAAAAATCCAACTGTCTCATTTTACCAATGAGATAACAAAGACCTCTAGGAGTGCAGAGATGTATATGAGATTATATAGCAAGTTGCTTCCAAAGTGGGAACCTTTTAAATTTAGGTCCCTTGAGTTTCATGCTGATTTTTTTTCTACTGTGTTACTTTTCTAATCATCCTTGTAATTTTTCTGACTTGAATTTTAATTTTCTGGCCACCACTGTTTGCAATTTAGCTTTGAGGAAATTTAACTACGGTGATTCGTGTTATTACCTGGGAACATGGTACTGTCCTTCACTGGTTAGGACAGTGAAGGGCCAAAATCCAGGGACAGCATGAAAATGTGTTTATAGTGTATTGAAGTGTATGAGCATACCAGGTTAACCCTGGTGGACTTTAAGTGGTGACTACTGTATTAGTACTGAAGTTGCAAAGTCCTCAAAGTTGAAATGCAATGATGCATTTTAATTGGGTTTTCCAGCAAATTACTTTTCTTTATATCTGACCATATAAATGATGTGGATGAATTTAATTCCTTCACTGACACCCAGTGTGGATAATGCCTCATTGTGCTCATCAGTATATACAATTATTATTTTAGACCATTAAATACATAGTAAAGCAACCATATACCCACAATAATGGTGTAAAATTATAGAGATACCAAATTAAGAATCTTCTTTAGGAAATCCAGATAGAGCTAAAGTTAAAAGATTTGAGGTTATGAGGAGAGAATCAGATATTTCATTTTAAAGTTGATTATTGTAACCTTTTATAGAATGCAGAGGTGATTTATAAGTTATTGTACTGAAAGTCATGTCTAACATTTTAAAGCACATATACTTTTCCTAGAGAAATTCTGTTCAGGTTAGTCTAGCATAATAGGTGTATTTTTCCTAATGCTAGATGAAAACATTAGGAAACAGCAACAATTTAAAAGTAAAAAAATAGTTTAAAAAGTTAGTTATACAGTGCCTTTTACCATTGTAAAAGGCAATTTTTTAATGATTTTTTTCTGAATTGTCAAGATAGTTTTTATCTCTGACTAGAACTGCTATTAAAAAATCTTTGCTCAACATGTATACCTTCAAAAAGAATCTCAGTAACTTAACAAATTACTTTTTCACAATTGAGAGTTCTCATTTATGATTAAGTAACAGTAAATTGTTAGGTTATTAACATAATTTTATACAAATACACTAAAGTATTAAAATTGTAAGCATAATGATTTTTTTACTGATTTTACAGAAATTAGAAAAGCAATTAGACATTTTTACATTGTAAGCACATTAGCTTAAGTAGTATGAGTTGGGTCCTAAAATGAAGGTTTTAAAAATTGTCTTTTACAGAATACCAGGAAAAACCTACATGATAATAGCTTTTCTAACTGTGGGTACTATGGGGTTATCAAACACTTCCTTGGGCTACCTGAATTATCCTACCCAAGTCATCTTCAAGTGCTGCAAATTGATTCCTGTTATGCTAGGAGGAGTTTTTATTCAAGGTATAGTAATGATATATTTTCATACTGTTTGAAACAAATAGGATGTATTATGGCATCTAGCATTAGGAAAAGTGTCTATTTTTAGTGAGTATTCTAGATACTCTAATAATTCTAAGTGCTATCTTATAAGGTATTATAAAAACACTGACAGCCAGGCACCAGTGACTCACACCTGTAATCCTAGCTACTTGGGAGACTGATACAGGAAGGATTGTGGTTCAAGGCCAGCTGGGCATTGGTTGCAAGATCCCATCACCAAAAAAATAACTGGAACAAAATGGACTAGAAGTGTGTCTCACGCTGTAGAGCATCTGCTTTGCAAACATGAAACCCTGAGTTCAAACCCGAGTCCCACCAAAAAGAAAAAGAAAAGAAAAAAAAAAACACTGATACTTTTCTAATGTACCTCAGTATCTGAGATCAGTAATTTGGACTTGAGGAGAAAGAAAAAATACTATGTTGTTTTATTATTTTATTTTGGAACTTAACACATTTCCAGCAACGTGGAAATTTCCTCCCCTCTACCCCCAATTATTCTATTCTGTGCTTCAAGGCTCTATACTCTACATACATTGTACAGTGGGCAATTCTCATATTGAAATAAAGCTTAATCTGATTGGAGCTACTTTTTAGCTAACCCTGCTGATTTATTGATGTCTTCGAGCCCCCGCTAAGTTGTAAGCTATCTGAAATTATGAAGAAAGGAGGAAATAATTATAGCAACAAGCAATGGAATAAGTTATTTTTCTTCATATTAGCTGTCATGATAATTGTGTTTCTGCATCACTAAAGTTCTTGTACAGCCTTCCCAGAATACATTAGATGCCTTCCCAGAATAAACCTTTTAAAATGAAACTGTATGTCAACAACCTCACCATTTTCAGGATAATTTTCACATAGAGAAAAATGCTTCATCTGCATTGAAAACCACATTTAATACACTCCCTGACACATATTTTCCTTATAACCTTTACAAAAAGTTACACTACATTTCATTTTTTAAAATAGCGATGCGGTAAAATAAGTTAATTCTCACCTACTAGCAGTCTCATTGTGGTATTTACAAACTTAAACAGTATTTATATAGCCAGTCATTACTCTGGTTCCTTTGTAAACTTATAAACTACAAGAAAGTTTATGTTCTTTTGTTATACATTAAATAAAAGAGGCACTGATTTCTATAATAGCTAATAAATGTCTATGGATACCTGTTATTCTTGTCAGTTTTCACCAAAATACAGTCATGCACCACATAATGATATTTCTGTCAATAATGGACCACACGTGAAGATGGTCCCATAAGGTAGCATTCCTAGTGACATCATAGCTGTCGTGGTCTGGGTAAGTGTACCCTGTGATGCTATATAGCAGCAAAATCACCTAAAATGCATTTCCCAGGGCATATTTCATCATTAAGCAATGAATGACTGTATTTTACTCACTATCATAGCAAAGTAGGATTTTGTTTCTAACTTAACAAGGACATGTTGGTGTCTGTGGATAATTTGATCTTCAGATGCCCTTGGGTGACTGTCTTAGGCCCTGATCTAAGTGTTTTGGGATTGTTGTTGGTATTAGGTATCAACAACAATCCAGGCTCTACTTAGTCAAGCACATAGAGCTGATGCTAGGCTGGGTAGATATTTGCATAATGAGGTGGGCTGGCCTTTGTCTTATCCAGGGAAGCGTTACAATGTTGCAGATGTGTCTGCTGCGGTCTGTATGAGCCTTGGCCTGATCTGGTTTACCCTAGCTGACAGCACAATTGCTCCAAACTTCAACCTGACAGGTAAGGAATTTATTTATATTCCAAGATTTTATAGGCAGTTTAGAGTAAGAATTTCTAAAATTTCACAAGGATTTTAATGATGGTATAACATCTGTGATCCCATATCTAGCATAACGCTGTTAGACATTCCATGTAGGCTGTAAGAAAAATACCACAACTCTGAAAATCTAAGTTTTTATACTTTTGTATTTTGACATGACAGGAAGCTGCCCAGTCAAAATCTTTTGAGAACGAAAGGCATGATAAATTTTTATAAGTTTGATTGGAAATGTACACATGAATTATAGGAGAATCCAGTAGTACTTGTTTTTACCCATAAAAAAGCTTTCAAACTTGCACATTGATTTAGCTACAGATTGAATGCATGATGTTCTTTAATATTAAAATTTATAATGTAAATATGGATATTACCATAAAGTGCATAAAGTTTCCGCCATAAGTTTTCTCCATAGTGTGCTATGCTAAATTTTGTAAATTAAATTGAGATTTTTCGAAAGAAGAATAACTATTACAGTATGCTCAGAAAGAAGATTAAAATTTAAGTATTGCAGTCCTGCTTTTATTTTAATGACCTTTCAGAGAAATTGTTTTGGGATATTTTTAGTGTTTACTATATATACAATATTCTTTAAATTATTAAAAGAATTTTACTAATTGTCATCCCATCCCCTAACCTGGAAAAAATAGTATCTATAATTATAGGATAACTTAATACTGTTTAAACTATTCAAAAGTGAACATAAAACAGACAGAATTGTTTCTGTGAAAACTTGATTGAAACGATTCTATTGACAAGCCAGAAAAATCCTTGTTGAATTAGGTATGGGTGAAACAGCTGTGAATATTGAAGGAGTTAAAGGATCCTGCACTCCAGTTCTTGTAGAAGTTCCTAAATTTCAGGCATACTTTTCAACAAAAGCAACTTGAAAAGCATAGCAAATGTGTATTTTGAGTATAATTTGTGTAAGACAGAAAGTACAGAGTTCTAGTCAGCAGTCATATTTGAAGACAAGACTTCAACAGCTGCCTGCATTTTTATGTGTTTGAAGTTAAACATTTTAGCAATATAGGTATTTTTAAACAAATTTTTTCAATTAGCTGACTAGCCATCATTCCCAGTAGATCTTCTAAAAGTTTCTTCTATACTTCTTTGATACAGTATTTCCTTCAAACAATCTAGGGTGAAAGTAGAGCTTTATTTAATGTGATCTTGAAGCACAATAATGGTGACAGCATTAACTCAGTTAGTTACTTTTTATTTTAATATCATCTTTGTGCTTATTGCAATTGGTTGTGGATGAGAATACCCAACATTGTGAATCAAATGTGCTTGAAGATCTCTTGTTTTTAGCTCAGTTAAACTTCTGATGGAACTTGCTTATAAGCCCATATGTTTAAATATAGCAGTTATCTCTTTTATACCTTGAAGGTGTGATGCTTATTTCCCTGGCACTATGTGCAGATGCGGTCATTGGAAACGTTCAAGAGAAAGCTATGAAACTCCATAATGCTTCCAATTCTGAAATGGTAAATACTCCTGGGCTTTTTCTTCACATCAGACTGAAAAATAATGGTGCACCCAGTTTTATGAAATGATTATAGTATCAAAGACTTGGATTACATTTCAAATTAGTTTATCCTAATTTTCATAAAAGTAATACATTCCATTATAAAAAGGTTTTAAAAAAAGTACCACTACTAACAGTGGTAGTATATTTGATCCATTTTCTCTCATTGATTTATATATATTTTTTTAATCTGTTAAGAAAAAACTCCTTTGTTACACCATTTTTCTCCCCTCTTTGTATTTGGTATTTTTTTCCATGTTGAAGTTTATTATTTTTATTGATTCGATTTATCTTTTCCTTTATGACCTCGAGCTATGAGAAGGACTTTACCATAACCTTAAGAGTTTAAAGTTTTTACTCACATCGCTTAGTAGTTTCATGATTTCCTTTCCAAATCCAATCCAAAACTTAAAAAAAATTTTCCTTCCAGATAGCTATCCACTTGTCCCAATATTATTTACTGAAATCCACTTTTCTAGCTTATTTTAAATGCCTTCTTAATCATATCTCATTTTAATGCGGGGTTCAGAATTGAATTCTTCAGGATTTATTTCTGCACCAGTAGATAAAGCTTTATCATACATTTAGCATCTGTTAGGACTAGCCACCATTGTTCCTTTTCTTTTTCAGAATATCACTACCAATAGTTATTCTTGGGTGTTCATATCCCCAAATAAACTAGAAATGCCATTGGTATTATGATGGGTGTGGCATTGAATTATAAGTTAATTTAGGGAAAATGGCATCTGTACACTTGATTCTTTCAGTTCAAGACTAAGGTATGACTTTCTTTTTTTTAATGCCCACTAGAATTAAAATTTTCTTCATATAAATCCAGCCTATTTCTTATTAAAGCTTTTGGTAGCTGTTTCTTCTTTTTGCTGTTGTTACTATAAAATACTATATTTTCTTTCAATGTATTTTGTGGTTTTTTATTAGTATGTAGGAAAGTGTATGTGTGTATGTGTTTACATTAATTTTATAATCAGTCACCTTGCTGGACAGATAGACTTACTGCATTAAGGACATATAGAAATGTTCTTTCCTGTTACTTTCTAATCACAGAGTAGGGCATCTGAAGTAACATCCTAGTAACACTGAAACCAGTTTTGACTAGAACTTTACTTGGTCATCATCACTCTTCTTTCTTGATAAGGTGAGGATTGCCTCAGAAAGAATTAAGGAAATTTAATACAGTGTAACAGTTAAGGTGGTAGATGGTGTCATTTTATATGCTAGCTTTACTAGCTCTCATTTGGGGAAAATCACCTGGAATTTCCAAGTTTTATTTTCTTAATTTGGAAAACTGGGTAATGAAGACTGGATTACAAACTCCTGTCAGAGAGGTTGGTGGTGAGAAATCAATGGACTGGCCCATGGTGAGCAGTAGCGCAGTGCTTGATACACAGCAGATATCTGAGGTAGATGTGCTGCTTCTACTTATGAGCACTATAATAACTAAACTGGGTTTAAAAAAATTGGCAGTAAAATTGAGAAATTAAGCAATAGATAAGCCATCAACTGCTTATTTTCTTTATATTTGAGTATCTTTTGCAAACTTTATATCCAGAATTGTTTCCTGTTCTATAAGTAGCTTTAAGAATTTTGTTTTGTGTATAGTTCTAGTGTGATAAAATTGAAATCTGTTTTGGCTTCATCATTAAGCAAGACAAGAAAAAATTAAGCATACGTGAAAGGACTAGTAATGCCATGTTGTTTAGTAAGATACAGACGTAACAAATGGTAAAATCAACCATCATGTCCAGAAAGTTAGACCATATAGAAATGATGATGTTACTTTAAAAATGTCTTGTTTTGCAATCTTAATTAAGTAGATCAATTGAGCTATATATTGAGACCTCTCAGTTTTCCACTTTTGATTTGATAGTACTTTTTCCACTTTATTTTTATCTACTCTAGGTTTTATATTCATATTCAATCGGTTTTGTGTACATTTTATTGGGATTGACATGCACTAGTGGATTGGGCCCTGCAGTAACATTTTGTTCAAAGGTAAACACTAATCATATTTTTTTTTAAATAAACATCTTTCATTTAATAGTTTTCTCTTTATTTCTAATTTCTCCTGGTTCAGAAAAGGCTATTGTTATAATTTGATAACTCCTTTAATACAATATTACAAATCAAAAATTTTCTCAGAAATGAAATGATTGATATTTAAATTTATTTTATCCTTACTGAACCCTGTAAGTTAATTTTTAAGCAGTTCGTAAAATAGAAGTTGAGGATTTTTAATTTCACCATTATTTTCCCATTAAATCAAAACCAAATAATCCTTGCTTGACTGCATTGTCGAATGGCTTATTGTTGCTCAAGAAGTTGATTAAACTCTGAGGTCTTGTTTCATTTGTAATACCTCAGGGTTTGTTTTGAGATTTTCTAATAGCCTTTTTCCTTGATGCAGAACCCAATTCAGACCTACGGTTATGCTTTCCTGTTTTCCCTCACTGGTTACTTTGGAATCTCCTTTGTTCTGGCTTTGATTAAAATTTTTGGTGCACTTCTTGCTGTAACAGGTAGGAGGCTTTACTTGATTAGATTATGAAATAAACATTAACTTTTTTTAATGGTTCACAAAAGCAGATTTTATCACTTTGGTTTTTTTTTATTATTATTATTCATATGTGCATACAATGCTTGGGTAACATTTTATCCAAGTCATAAGGGCAACACCTCTTCATTAAAAATACTGCCATATTTCTCCAGTTGATTCTTTGGCTTATGGTATTTCTTTAAAATTCTTTAAAAAAAAATGATGTTTGATGCCAATTTCTTGTTTGGAAGCTTTAATCTTATTTTTTCAATTCTGGCAATGGCCTTGTGCACACTAGGCAAGCATTCACTCCACCACTGAGATACATGCCACAGCCCCAAAGGTTCAATTTTAGAGTCAAAGGTATATATTTAACTAAATAGTAACCTTTAAGAACAGTAGCAATGTATATTATTGCTGTAAACTAATGATGGGATGAGTAGCTTCAAAGAAAATGTTGCTTTTATATGCTTTTAACTTATTACTGAAAATTCCAGTTTTCTTGTATTTAAAATATGACAGATACATTTTAACAAATTTTGAGACTTTTCACGTGTGCATTTTCTAGGTCAAAACCAGATTAGCATCTCTCTTCACTAATGATAATTGTGCTCCTACTCTGTGCAAGGACTTTGCTTGGCACTGTTGAGGAATGAAGGTTGCATTTTATTTGGCCTTGGAGGAGGGTATAGCCACGTGAGGGGAACTGATGACTGGGTGTGCTGTGTCATTTGCTGAAACTGAGATGCAGCCCTTGTCTTGATGGTGTAGGCTTTAGGCAGGGTTTTTCCCTCTCATGTAGAAGAAAGGCAGAGGTAACAATAATAATAATACCAAATGCACATATACCCCTTATTATGAACCAGATGCCATTCTGGGTATTTTATATCTATCGGTCTTTTTAATCTCACACTATCCTAAAAAGTGGGCATCATTATTACTGTGTTTTGCACACAGATAAACTGAGGCATGAAGAGGTTAAGTGACTTGTCTAATAGTCACCTGGAGTCAGGATTCCAACCAATGCTGGCTAGCTCCAAACCTGTACTCTTCACCATATGCTATGCTGCCTTCTGAGCTAGTATGGTAACTGTATGGTCCTCAGTAACCCAGACTCCCCTGCCTGCTGTGCTGTCTGCATCCTCCTGCTAGGCAATGGGATGGAATACAAGAAGATGAAAGACAGACAGACAGACAGACACACACACACACACACACACCCCTTCTCTTCATGGACACTTCCTAAAAAAAAATCACACCTCAATAGACAGGAACAGTGGGGCATGGTGACACACACCTGTCATACCAGCTATGTGAGAAAGCACAAATGGGAGGATAGCAGTTCAGGTCCACTGAGCATGAAGTGAGACCCTATCTCAAAAATAACTAACACAAAAAGGACTGATGGAATACCTCAAGTAATAGAGTGCCTGCCTAGCAAGGCAAGGCCCAAAGTTCAACCCCCAGTACCACAAAAAGAAAAGAAAAAGAGAGGAGGGAAAGATGGGGAAGAGGGGGGAGGGCAGAAAAAAAATCACACTCCTAGAAACAGCACTTCTGCTCACACTTCACTGGCCACAGCCTAGTCACATGACTACATCTAGCTGTACAAGAGGCAGGAGCATATGCCTAACTAAAAGTAGGGGTCCTACTAAAAATGGATATTGGGAATAAGGCCCTGACAGCACATTTTCTTCCTTTGGTATTCATTCATTCAGGCACTGAATATTAAATGTCAGCAATGCGATGTAAGGATGTGTAAGGTAAAAAACTAATAGCAATGTGGGGGCAAAGAGCTGTATTGGAGACATGTATAGAGTTCCTGCTCAGCCCATGCAAAAAGAAGAAGGCTTCTGGCCTGATAGCAGACGTCCAAGTGTAATACCTAGAAGGGCAGGAAAAAGTTAACACCAATGTGTAAAGAGGACTGTAAAAGTTATTCAGTCTTATCCAGAGATCACCACTATTAATATATCACTAAGCTGGGCAGGATGATATTTGCCTGTAATTCTTCAAGGCCACCCTGGACTACATAGAGAGACTCTGTCTCAAAAAAAAAAAGATATAAGCATATCCTATACTATTTTTAAAAAAATAACTCCTGCTCTTCCTAATGATACCTTCCTTGGGAAAGCCTTTCATTCTGCCAAACTAAGTCTTTAAAGGGTGATGTGGCTCCATAGTACTGTAGCCTCCATTGACTACTTATTACAGTTGTACTTTAACATTTAACTGTATTTTTTAATGTCTGCTCCTACAAAATTCTAAATCCCACAACAGCAGGAACAGTGACTGGTTGGTTGACAGGTATCTGATACCTCACATAGATTCTGTCACATAGTTGGATGTAAATATTTATTGAATAAATGATTTCCAAAGTATTACCAAAGTAGTAAGGCACATTCTAAATCAATTTTTTTGTCCCTACAGTGACAACAGGAAGAAAAGCAATGACCATAGTACTTTCATTTATATTCTTTGCTAAACCATTCACATTTCAGTAAGTACCTTTTAATTCAAGTTTCTCAATTTTTAGATACCATATTTCACATTCCCTCTTAAACAGCTTTATTTCAACTTTTCTTTTACTGTTTTTAATGGTAAGTATGTTAATTTTTATATAAATGATGTGTGGTATTTTTTCCTGCTAGGCTATACAAAGAATACTTTTCATTTTGACCTCTAATCTATTGATATGTCTTCTGCTGTTTCAGAACTCTTTTTGTTATTTTGAATTTATCATTTTTATACTTAAATTGTTTCACCAAGCCCAATGAAAATACGAGCCTATTACCAACCTGACTGGATGTGAGCGGTATATGTGTTCCACTATGACTGAACGTAAGTGTTGTGTACATCCCAATGAGATTGAATGTGAGTGGTGTGTGTGTTCAGTATGACTGAAGGTGAATGGTGTGTATGTTTAGTATGACTGCAGATGAGTGGGGTGTACTTCCCAATGCTACTAAATGTGAATGGTGTATATGTTCAATGCTACTAAATGTGAGTGGCATGTACACTGTTGAGATTAAGGGACCTCCCCCCCTTGCCCTAGTGCAGACATATAAATTATGTTTGCAGTCCATACTTTTACAAACTTTGTTTATTTATGGCCTCTTTCTACAAAGGATTTGAGGTTGAGAAGTATTCTTTAAGTTGTGTCCTGGTAACTCATTTAGTTTGTGACTTTTTGTGAAAATTTTTACTATCAAATAAGTGTTTGAAATTAGCATCTTTTAGACTTATGTTTAATTGTAAGATTTCAAATGTAAAACCTACTAAAGATTTCAGACGTAAAATCTACTAGTGTATAATTTTAAAGATAGCCATAAAATAAATTTCCATTAATGTATTAAATATTATTTGTTCTCTGTAAATTACTTTTTACTTTCTGCATGTTATAGGTGTGCACTATAGTAATGATGATTCATTTCCCAACTTTCTAAGGTTGGGTCCTGTTTTATGCTAGTGTCTACCCATCTGGGACAACTAGTTGGACTGCTGAGTTGAATTCTCAGGATGGCCTTTGGTAGATTTGTGTATTCAGTGTTTTAAGAAGTCATAAGACTTTTGGTATGGGTTGGACTTTCAATATGCTATTGATTCCAAAGTAAATTAACTTGTATGGTATGATTCCAAAGTAAATTAACTTGTATGGTATTTTTTAAAATACCTGTTTTCTATCTATCTATCTATATATATAATGTTTATATATCATAGATTTTCTGTTTATATATATATTCAGCATAAAATATGCAGAATTTTATCTAATCTTAAGTATACTATTTTTATTTTAAAACTATTCTTATAGGCTTCTAACAGCAAAATTTTATCATTGAAGAATTATAGAGTACTCACCAAATTCTTTTGCTAACTATAAATTGTTATCTTGTTGATTTTAATATTGTTTTTCTTCCTCATGATCAGTCTTTTTTGTAAATGTTTTTGTTAGTATATGATAGTTGTACAGGGGGCTTTGTTGTGTCATTTTTCATATATGCATGTACTGTACTGTGGTTTGGTTCATCCCCTCCATTTTTCTCCCTCTTTCCCCACTCCCCTTCTTAAACTGTCTTCAGCAGATTTCAACGTTGCCTTTTCATACATGTATAGAAAGTACATCAACCATATTCACCCTCCTTTACCCTCCCCCTCCCACAAATACCCTCCCCTTAACACGACCAGTTTTACATTCCTGTCCTTCATTGTTTGTGTCTGTTTATTGTTCAGTGGGTTTTCTGACTCGGTATTTTACCTGTAATTATGTGTACTTTAATCAGTCTAACCCCCCTCTCTTACTCATCCTTACCCTTTTCCCTCTACCCTATGTTGTGCAACAGTTTTCAGTATGTTTCATTGTGTCTTGTTCCTACATAGATGAGATGTATTGTAATATTATTCATTCCCTATCACTCTTTTCTTCTTTTCCTCCACCCTTTGTCTCTTCTAACAGTGCCACTTTTGGAAACATGCATGCATGTATGTATGTATATATGATAATACTTGTATTTGTATTTGGATGTATCTTCTACATGCGAACTTCGTCTTTCTGAACCTGGCTTCTCCATTTCCATCCATTTACCTGCAAATGACAAAATTTCATTCTTCTTTATGGCCAAATAATATTTCATTTTATATTCATATTAATTCATAGTAATATTTCATTTATATGTATATGTATGTATATATAGGTGTGTGTGTGTGTATATATATATATATACACACACCACATTTTCTTGATCCATTCATCAGTTGTAGGGTTTTTTCCATAGCTTAGCTATTGTGAATAGTGCATCAGTAAACATGGGTGTGCAGGTGTCTTTATTGTGTCCTTATTTACATTGCTTTGGATATAGTCTTAGGAATGGAATTGCTGGATCATGTGGTAGTTCTATTTTTACTTTTTCAAAGCGCTTCCATGCTGCTTGTTGATTTTTATATTATTTTTTCCATATTTGTTTTTCTTAGGTATGTATGGTCTGGATTGTTAGTTGTCCTTGGTATATTTCTCAATGTTTACAGCAAAAACATGGATAAAATAAGACTACCATCACTATATCATCTGATAAACAGATCACTGGAAGTGAGGAGGTCAAGGACGTTGGCACAAACTGTATAGGAATGGACTCGTCCTCTTTAAAATAGTACTTTAAGGGAACAATCATTAATGAACTTCCAAAAGTACTGTAATAAAAGCCAAAGGATCAGAAGGCATGGTGTCCATTTGTGAATGGATTACATAAACCGTAGTTTTGTAGCATCCACCTTTCTTCAGAACACTTATTGGACTGACTCCTGAAGCAGTCAAGAGCCACACCTAGCATCCCGTACAATAAAATGTCAATATGAAGGACTTTACTTTTCTTGACAGCATCACTGGAAATGGACCATGTTGCAAGACTAATTGAATATCATATGACATATCAAATACATTGATGTGTAATAGCACATTGTTTGTCTTCATTCCATTTTGGTGGTGTTATTTAAATTGATTCTCTGTTATAAGAGTAAGCTGATTATTTAAAGCCTTAGAGAATAGCATTCATTATAAATAAAATTATCCTGTGATTTTTTTTTTAATAAAAGAAATGAGTGAATAGAAATTTTGTTACAGAGAGGGAAATGGAAATTGGAGTAAGGCTTACCATAGCTTTAAAATTTAGGGGTTTTTTGTTATTATTTTGTTTGGATGGGACTGGGGCTTGAACTCAGGGCTTTGCACTTGCAAAATAAATAGGCTCTCAACCATTGAAGCCACACCTTCAGTCTGTTTTGCTCTGGTTATTTTGGAGATGATGGTCTCGTAACTTTTGCCCAGGCTGGTCTTGAACTGCAGTCCTCCCAATCTCAGCCTCCCAAGTAGCTAGGATTATAGGCATGAGCCACAGGCAGGTGACTGGCTAGGTTTTTCTCTCAATATAAAAGTTTTCTTCATGGAAAACATGCCTTAAATTTTATATAGTATGTAAGCAAGATAATAAAAGCAGTCAGTGTCTTTCATGTAAGTATGTATTACAGATAAGGTTACTGTTCACAAAGAAGTAATGTAAGAAAAATGAGTTGGATTTTTTAATTGAAGGGAAAGTAATTTGTCTTAAATTATAAAATATATTTTAAGATTATCTTAGTTTTTCTTATAAAAGTGAAATTTAATTTGGAGGTTTGGATATTAAATAGGATAATTGTTTTTTAAAATACAAATAGACTTAACAAATTTTTACAGTGTTTTCTCTTAGTCCCTTCAGGCTGCTGTAATAAAATACCTGAAACTGAATAGTTTATAAACAACTGAAATTTCTTTCTCACAGTGTTTGATGCTGTGAAATTCAAGATCAAGGTACTGGCAAATTTTTTTCTGCTGAGGGCTACTTTCTGGTTCATAGAGTGTTGTCTTGTATCCTCGTATGGAGGGCACTGAGGCCATTTGTAAGAGCTCCATCTTCATAACCTAAGCATCTCCTAAAGGCCCACCTCCTCATACTGCCACCTGGAGGATTATACTTTTAACATGTAAATTTGGGGGACATAAACATTCTGGCTATAGCAATATTGCTTAAATAGTTTTGAGTCTAAACTCATAAAGATTTTAGACCTTCTCTTTAACATTTTTGTAACTGCTTTCTATTATATACATAGAATTCCGATTTATCTTCAATTTCAATAATGGTGGTTAAAACTCTTAGTATTTATGCTATTGGTGATATCAGATATACTTTGTGGTAATTAGGATATTTAATCTCATTTGTAAAATAAATTTCAATGTATTCTGATGGATCTTTAACCTTGCTAAAATGTAATTTTGACTTATCAAGGCAGTCATTTATCCTCACACTTTTTTGATATTTTGCCTCTCTGTCACCAACACTTTATCCCACCCCCCCATTGTAAATAGTTCAGCACTGTAAAAATCTCTGTTTGTCATTCTTACCCTGTTACTCCATTTCCTTTTTCACCTGCCATCAAATGGAGGTAAACTTCACCTCACTTACTTGTAATGAATAGTCTGCATTAATAAAATAATTTTATAGTAAAGGAAATCAACATTGAATGTGTACTCTGGGCCAAGTACTATAGCGTGATCGTTCATGAATACTATGCCATCTCAATGATGGAAATAAATAAGGAAATGTAAAATAATCATTGGAATTGCAGATACTTAAGGTTTACTAGATGTCAGACGCTATTATAAGTTCTTTATGTGCAGTAACTTACTTAATCCTCACAACATTAGGTAAGTGTGATTATCCTAACTTACTAGCTCCAAATCACATCGTGACATGGCTGGATTTTAAATCCAGTTCTCTCACTTCAAAGCATATTTTCTGTTCACTGTGCTGCATTGTTAACATTAAGTGCAGCAGTAACCCAAATTAATACAATAACTCTCTGGTGTGGATGTGTATGTCCCCTCCAGAAGCAGTTATTGAAATCCTGACCTCCAATGCAATGATCTTCAGAGGTACAACATTTGGGAGGTGATTAGACTGGGGAACTCTCATGAATGGGATTAATGCCCTTATAAAAGAGACCTCAGGGCCAGGTGCAGTGGCACACATGTCTAATCCCAGGAGGCTGAGGGAGGAGGATCCTAAATTCAAGGTTAGGCTGGACTAGATAGTGAGATCCTGTCTCAAGAAAAAAATCTTTGCCCTCATTCCACCACATGAAGATACAATGAGAAGTTGGCAATTCAAGCTGGGCATGGTGGTACATGCCTGTAATAACAACTACAGGTGGAGGTAGGAGGATCCAGGCTTGAGACCTGAGCCAGCCTGGGCAAAAGTGTGAGGCAAACCAGAAACAAAAAGGACAAGCTGTAGAGCACTTGCCTAGCAAGAGTGAGGCTCCAAGTTTAATCCCCACTATCTCCCCCCGGCCCAAAAAAGAAGTTGGCAATCAAATTCAGAAGAGGACCTTTCACCAGAACCCTATCATACTGGTTTCCTGATCTTGGACTAGCAAAAAGAAAATCTATCCCACCCAACTATGATGCTTTGTTATAGAGCCTGAGCCTACTTTATATATTAGATTCTTTCTTAGTCAAAGAGTATAGAACTCTAGTAAAATTTGACCAAGCTCATAGACCGATAATATAACTTGGCATACTGAAAATACTGATGTGTCAAAAAAACATTTGGTCTTTAAGCAACTCAGAACCTTTGTCATGTGCTTCCTTCCCAGTTAAGCACTTGACAAGTTTTCTCTATTGTGTGTTAAAGCAAAATTTGTTTATATTTTCACTTCCTCTGCTTGTCTTTTGTCCCTATTGAATGTCTCCATGCTTGCCCATTGACCAACCATCTTTGTTAACAAGGAACATAGCATCACTAACACGACTGCTTTAGTTTTTACAATATCATTTATTCATTCATTTTCACTGAGATAAATATGAGCCAGGCATATTCTGAGGGTGCACAAAAAGTAATCTATAACCCCTCTTTGAAGACTCCCCACTCTTGAGAAGATTTGCTGTAATCACTGCATAAACACATGAACTGGGTTGGTGTCCTTGCATCACAGGCTGTCATATTAGCCTGAAGTTTTCAGAACATTTCCCCACCACTGTGGCAGTGACTCTCTAACTTCAAGCTGCATCATACCACCTAAGGATCTTCTTAATAAAGAGGATTTATATTGAGTGAGGTTGAGATGGAGCCTGAGATTCTGTCCCAATGCTCTCCCAGGTGATGCTGATGCTAGTAGTCCCTGGACCACACTTGGAGTATCGAGGTTGTAGCACGCAAACCTTCAGATGCTTTCCAACAGCAGGACATCTTAATGTATTTCAGTAGTATTCACCAGATTTTCTTCCATTTGCTTTTCAAGCTTCCTCTGTTGCATGACTTGACCCTGTTTAACTTCTCCCAAAGTCCTTTTGTTGAAACTGAACAGAAATCTTACATGGCAGACAGAGGTGAAAAGAATTCTTTCATCATGATAGATGTTTGGAAGATTTAATATTCATTATTTTCTCCATAAATGTTACCTTTTTTCAAATCTTCACAAAAGTAAAATAAATCAGTAATTTCCTCCCAGTCATGGTCTGTTGTTTTAATTTCATGGCATGTAGTTAAAACACTTTTTATGCTATTTTGTAGTGACTTTATGAAGAAATGTTCACTTCAGTGACTTGCTGCTCTTTCAGAATGAACTGTGTACTGGGGGGAGGGATTAGGGAAGTAGTCTTAAAGACTTAAGGGATTTTTCTGAGAGTTTAATCACAAATGTGTTTTGTTAAATGTCTTAATCCTATTATACTCTCTAAATTTCCAAAACATAATTAATTAGACAACTTTAATTAGTTTTAGCACAATTGATAAGATTTTAATAGATAAGTAAAGAAATGTGGAGTCGGAAATGATGATACACATCTATAATCCCAGCTATCTGGGAGGTGAAGGTAGGAAGATAGTTGTCTGAGGCCAGCTAGGCAAAAGCACAAGTCCTTCTCTAGAAAAAATATGAACTAAAAAAACAAAAGGACAGAGAGTGTGGCACAAGTGGTAAAGCACTTGCCTAGCAAGCAAGAGGCCCTAAATTCAAACCCCAGAACTACAAAAAAAAGGGAAGAAAAAGGAACAGAAGAAAGGTTTAATCTAATGGGGCAGGGCTGGGGGATTCACTGTAAAATGCCTGCCATACCAGCCATAGCCCATTGGACTCTGAGATGTCTACCTTGCACAGGTAGGAATTACTGCTGGATTCAGGAAAGCATAGAAGCAGAACTCTATAGCATTGCTGACACAGGCAGTTAATTCGACCTAGTTAGGGGACTAGTGAGGATAGGCCTATCTGACAGCCCTCCATTCCAGAACCCTTTCTGTTCCCAGCCACTGCACCACCAGATTAGAATTGGTACTCTCCACCTGTTTGTCCTCTCAAAACACTTTACACTGCCTGCCTTCTTTGGCCCACTTAAACTAGGAGAGACTTTTTGCAAGGACTTTTTCTTGCAAAAAAAGGAGTATTCCATTGGTGTTGCTATTGGCCCATTTCAGGAGATTCAACCAGGCTTTGAGAAGATGCAAATAGAGTGGTAAAGGAGTTATCTGCCTTTTGTCCCCAGTCATCCAGATCCAGCTGTGCATGAGGGAGATAGCCTGTATTATAGGCGAGCACTTCAAGTAATCTGCCACCAAGTAATGGCCTCAGCCATACAGAGGTGTTTTAAGGGCATCTGATAGAGAAGATGGAGTCAAAGAACCAATGAGTCTCAGTTGAAGGAAAGCACTGAGCAAGGAGCCAAGGCAACTGTGACCAAGGCAGAGAAGATACGGCTGGAAATAGAATACCAGGCAGAAGCATAACAATAGGGAGAAAACTAGAGAATGTGGGATGCAAAGTCAGAGGAGGAACAGGGAATCTGGCTTGCTGAGCTGTCAACTCCAACAGTCTTTTGTCCTTCCAACAAGAAATCCAGATGGGATTAAATGTAATGACAGAGCAGGGATTGAAGAACAATGGAAATAATCTGAAATTTGGGATGTAAGAATCAAATCAGAAGTTATATTTAGTGATTCATGCAACTCTCCTGTTAGATTGGAAATCTAAAATTAAGAATCAAGGCTTCTGA